AATTTTTCAATTACTTTTTTTTATTAACTTAACTTTTAATTCAATTAATTTCATTATACATTAACTTGTATCTTAACTAAGTTAAATTTTCAAGGTTATTAACTTTAACTTAACTTAGTTAAAAGAAAAAATTAATTTACCCCCCAACCCTGCTAATATCATTATTTACTATTACAAAAATATATCTCGTAAAATACTCTTATTAATTATAATTGATTTGTTACAATAAAATAATAAAGTTGTCTTAGTCGCATTATTATAAACTATGTCTCGTTCTATAATCTTCAAATGAATATAATTTTGATTCGTCTCTATTTTATAACAGAATTCCAAAAGGTATTATGAGAAGAAGTTCTTTATTCTTGAAAAGTTGTGCGCATATATAAACTTCCCAAAGGTCTACTTTTCGCTGTTGAGAAGGAAGGTTCTCTTTCCATGATCTAATTTGTCATAATTTTGTGAGGTCATACGAGATTGCTGGTCGCAAATATAGCTTTGGGAAGTTTATATATGCGCACAACTTTTCAAGAATAAAAAACTTCTTCTTATAATACCTTTTGGAATTCTGTTATAAAATCGAGACGAATCAAAATTATATTCATTTGAAGAGAGATTATAGAACGAGACATAATTTATAATAATGCGACTAAGACAACTTTATTATTTTATTGTAACAGATCATTTATAATTAATAAGAGTATTTTATGAGATATATTTTTGTAATGGTAAGTAATGATATTAGACATATAATTACTGATGATGGTCAAAAATTGTGACCGAAACGTTTAATTTTCATATTTTAGTGTAATTTAATAAATTGACTTGCGCAAATTTTATCTAGCGTTGTAGCTGTATGCTTTATTTTGTTTGTGTTTATAAAATTTTAGCCACCTTCTGAATTTAAATTTATTTTATTCTTGGATATACATAATTAATTAAATATAAACCGTTGTTTATAATATTTTATACGTTTATTAAACTCTTAAACTATTGTAAAATTTTAAAAAATGTTATCATATTCTATGTATAAAATAAATATTTTATTCAGTTAAAACAAATATATTATTAACGAAATTAAATTATTATTTCATTTTGTAGTAAAACGGACATTTTATTACTTTTCTTTCGAAACAAATATCTTTTCTCATTACGACAGATATTTTTATTCCGGCAGTAAAGAGCGTTGAAACACGCGTACTCACCATTTGTGACTTATATTTACGTTGAATTACTTGTCTAGTTTTAGGATCTGAAACAGAAAGGCACCCGATATTCCGACATTCGAAGATTAAATGTTAAATTGCAGCGAAGCGTGTTGGAGAATATTGTGAATCTATTGTTTTTTTTTTTCACAAGATATCTACGGCGTAAAAGCGTAATCGATGCAGTATTCGGTATGTCACTTACTGAATTCTTCCAAAACAAAGATTCCATCCTTTTGAGTAAAGCACTTGCGGATATGATCGAGTCTTACAAAAAACTGCAAATAACACAATCGGTTTGCGTTAGTGGTCTGCGCATCGCGTTATCATAGATCTGGATCTACTCGATCATGCACACGATTCTGACGATTCTCTATTTGCCTATCATTATCATATGCGTCGATATAGCAATATCAGTCGTATGTGCGAACAGCTTTCTAAACGAGGCGTGAAAATATATCGTGATGCTCGCTCGACGATAAGCGTCTGTTTTCACCCTTCGAGCGCTGATTTTGTCGCGTCTTTTATCAATCAACAATAATTCTTAGCTACATTTTAATTAATTATCAAATATTCCTATATTATTATATTTATTGCAACAAAATTATAAATTTTTTTAATTAAAAATCTAGAAGCGCTCGACGGGTTTTGCATAAGAAGTGTGTTTCACCTACTGCCTGTTTTAATCGTTACATGTCGTCGTACAGAAAATCATAATTATACAAACTAGTTACAATTTGCAAAATTATACACTTCTTTCGTATAATTTTGCACGATACTTTTTATCGATAGTTTAAATAATGACATAGTGACGCGCGTGACGTATATCGGATAAAAAAATCACCGATAAAATTTGTAACAATTGTAATAACTATTAAGTGTTAAACTTAATTCCTGCCGTTTTTCGTCTCCAAAATTGATTTGTTTCGAAAGAAAGATGAATGAATACCTTAATCAAAGTAATTTCCTCCATTTTCTACTTTATTACTAATTAATAATACTTTATTAATAATACTTTGATTAAGGTATTTCCCTTCGAAACAAATCAATTTTGGAGACGAAAAACGGCAGGAATTAAGTTTAACACCTAATACTACTATTATTATTTCATGCCATTTATACAATAATTAAGTATAATTTGCACTTATAATTAGATGCAAAGCACTGTTGTGATATACTAACATTGTCGCGACCAGATCGTGTTTCTTTCGTTTTCCAGAAATAGCAAAGATATACTTTTTATTTAAAATGTATTTATTTCAAAGATTTGTGATTTTATTTTTAAAATATCATTTTTTTCAATGCTGTATGTAAAGCGAATGAATCTAACAGAGAGGATATTTATTTTGCACGTTAAAAAACCTGTACATTTCGAATATTAAACTACTTTATAACATTCGCGTTCCAATTATATGTTGGGTAACTTTATATTCCCGTGTAATCATCACTACGAAAGGAGAGGGAAATTGAAAGATAATCTCGCGACGACGATATCCGTGTGACGAATATTAAATCGCATTGTATGTAAAATATTTTGCGAATATATTGTGTATATATTTAATGAGTAAAGCTGAAATAGAAATGTATCCATTACACGTGCAAAGAGTGTAAAAATGCTGTAAATAAAAGAATTGAAATCGGGGAACTCAAACCCTAGAAATATTTCTACGTGCAGCATACGCGGACCTCTCAGGGCTTACAGAGCAGCCGTACAAGCATTTATCTCATAACAGCATGATCAATATCACTTTTAATAGTTGTTACAATAGTTGTTTCAATCGAAACTCAACAGCGAGCAACGCTGTATTTTCACAAAACTCAATCTTTATAAGACTGGTTCTTGAGGAACACATTTTTTAATTGTTGAGTTCTGCAAAAATTAATTTTCGGTGTAAAGGCCAAAGCGATGTATGTACAAGCAATCCAGGAATCTATTCTACGACTAAAATCTATCAAAAGACACCATGCATCATTCAGCAATCGCGACGCAATCTCGATGTAATTGATTTCTAAGCAAGATCTATAATAGTAGCAACGATGGCGGCAAACAGCGGCAGCATCCGCAGCAACAGCAGCAGCAATGTCAGCGATATACAGCGGCAAGCGTAATAGCGGCAGGCAACTCTGGAGATGGCCTAAACTCAATCGTAAAATGTTACTGATTGCTTAGCGTCGGAGAGTTGCTAAAATGTGCAATTGTATCATCTAATGCAGACCGGCGAACGTGATACGGTCGACAATGATACACGGTCGTGATATATATATATATATATATATATATAAATATA